TCTTAGACCCAAGTCACAATTTTTCCTATCCATGCATATATGATCCCATTTTGCAAGGGAAAAACATTTATTATTATTATTATTATTATTATTATTATTATTATCATTATTATCATTATTATTATTATTATTATTATTATTATTATTATTATTATTATTATTATTATTAATTTCCCCCACAAAATCTGCCTTTGCATTTTATATCCATTTCCTTAGTTACTTCTTTTAGCATACCAAATATGTTCATCTGAAACTAAGCAAGATTCCCTACAACTGCCTTAAGAATTGATGTTGCGCGATCTGGTCGTTCCCTGCTAGATGACAGCTCGGATGGCAAGCTTGGTAGGTCAACTAACCAAGATGTAAAGAGAGATCAAATTGTGCAACATCAATTGGCACCGTTTGTTGGAAGATGAGTTTGACAACAAGGGCATTATCATGGGGGTACTAGACCCCACATGTGTCGTCTTTAGTAAATTATATCACCTCCTCAACATGCTACCACTTTGGCGGGTTCTTCTCCTCATGGATCAGCTCACGAACTAAATTTTGGCTAGCCGAGGTGTTGTAGCCTTCCACTATAGAACCACCTATTATCATGTTAATAACTCCTCGAATTGGGTGGTCTTCCTGCGATAGGTTATGTGGGGGCTAATCTCTCCTCAACGGAGGCTCATCTCTTATTGACTAGTTGGCGGGATGGTCACGGTCATCCTTCTTGATGAACTTCTTCAAGTAACCTCTCTTGATCAATTCCTTGATTTCATCCTTGAGGTTAGAACAGTTTCTCGTGTCATGCCTTATGTCCTTGTGGAAGTGGCGATACCTATCCCTATTGTGGTTGGCTGGGTCTCCCTTAAGGCGAGGTAGCCACTTCACGTACTCGGCTGACTTGATTTTCATCAGAAACTCCCCACTCTTTACATTCAGTGGAGTGTAGTTCTTGATTTTTATGGGCGAATTTGGAAACGTCGGCCCAACGACACGCTACTTCTCTATGGAGACCTGCTACGTCTATGAGGCGACCGTTGCGTCTGGGAGACCTGCTCCTCTTCTTTTGTTTGCTGTTGTCTTGGTTATCCGCTGACCTCTTCCTCTTTCCACTTAGCTCAATCCAGGATCAAAGCGCCTTCTCGGCCTTTGTATACTTGGTTTTCTTATCAAATAACTCCTCCATTGAAGCAAGAGGATTCAACTCAACCTCCCAGTGCAAGTCAAGGTGTCGGACGCCGTTAACTGTTGTAGTGAGCTAAACAGCGGGATCGAGGTTCGAGATCTAGAGCCATTTTAGGTCAAACCTCTTGATGTAGTCCCTAAGTTTTTCATATGGTCGTTAAACCACATTCAAGAGATTGGTTGCAAACTTTGGGCACCGTTTTCTAATTGTGAAGTGAGTAGTAAACAAATCCGCAAACTAGTTCCATGTCTTAATTGAGCCCGCAGGCAACACAGAGTACCACATCCGAGCTCTACCTTGAAAACTGGTTGGGAAAGCCATGCACAGGCATGCGTATGATGCCCCATGAAGTTGCATTAGGGCCTGGAAACTATCAAGGTGGTCGACTGGGTTAGTTACCATCATAAGACTCGAGGCTGGGGGCTTTGAAGTCCTTTGGTCGAGGAGCCACAAGGATCTCGACTGCTAATGGTGATACGCGGGTGATGTGTGAAGCAGACGAAGTGGCAACCTGACTAACCTCTTCCCCCTCGTTTGGGGTGAAGCGGGTTTTCCTTGGGTTCTATTGGGAGCGTCTGCGGCGTCTCTTGTGGTTCCCCTCCGTTGCACCAGTGTTGCTGAGGTCAACTGTAGAGCTAGCTTGGCTAGTTTCTTCGGACGGGGCGTATGAGGAATCCTGAGCTTCCGAGGTGCGAATCCAAGCTTGGCTGTTGTTTCTGCCCCAACCACGACCTTGGTTCTGGTCATTCTAGTTGTTGCGAGGGACTAACACTTGATTCTGATCCTAGTTCAGGTCATTCGGATGTTGGTTCTGTTTGCGTTCATTTGGTTGGCAACATGTTGTTGTTGTTGCTATTGAGGTACCTGTGGCATCTACATGCTGGGTACAAATTGGTGGGGCATTGCTGCGAAACGACCTTTCCACGACTACATTCTCATATCTATACAGTGGATGTACTGCACCAGCTCATAAAACTAATGGCCATTGATTCCTACAGGACCCACTAAGGGCTCAACCGCTAGGAGAGGCGCAATCAAAGAGGGCAGAGGGAGGTTCAGTCCTGGGGTGGTCGTGATGCCTGGCAGAGTAAGAGGGATGGTGAACTATCCAATCGTAACTAATGGGTTCTCCATGTTCGACGCAGACTAGTTTTGCCCCCAGGTGCAATGCTGAATCTAGAGGTTGTCGGCATTGTTGTTGTTGGCGTTGCTTAAAGATGCCATTACTCATTTAATAGAAAGGTGAGAAATTGACTTTTCATAGTGAGTTTCCACAAACAGTGCCAGTTGATGTTGCACGATCTAATCGCTCCCTACTGGATAACAACTCGGAGGGTGAGTTGGGTAGGACAGCTGGCCAAGCTGTAAAGAGAGATCAGAGTGTCTGGGATGCTCTCTCGGTGCAAACACTCCTATGCCTAAGTCAGCAAAGAGTTTTGGAGAGCTAGGAAATGAGAAAGTAAGAGAGATGTGAAGCTAAATCGCACGTACCTTCTATGAGAGAGAGAGAGGACGCCTTTATATAGGCGTAAGGAACTAGGAGCTTTGCGTAACGCATCTAAGATCTCTGAGAAGCCACGTTCGCCATATTTGGAGGCGATTTCTCAGCCGGAAAACGTGATCCACGTAAAGGGATTAAGTCCGTCCAATCGACTCCAAAGCGAATGATGCGCGAGACGGGTCTAACAGTCGAGCATCGTGCTCTCAAAGAAATCAGGGACAATAACTCACTCATGAAGAAAACTAGTTGCCACATCAAGCAGATCGGCCACTGGGCCCCAATCAAGTTAATCGGGTCTCGGGAAGAGGTCACGTCTGATGCCAAGGTCCCAAGCTCAATCGTGATGAGGTCACCCCTTAATGCCAAGGTCCCTAACTCGGTCCTGATCAGGTCACTGGATTCGAGGTTATGGGTCATCCGAGGTGTGAGAGTCTCTTCCAAATTCTCCTTCATTAAGCATTGATATTCTTCTAGCAATTGATAGAGTCTTACATTTCATTTTATCCAATATATTGTTAAAAGTTTTTTTTTTAACTTTAGAATTTATAATCGGAGTACCTAGATATTTCTCATCATTATTCATTATTAGGATGCCTGTTATCCTAGCCAACATTTTTTGGAATCTAGTGGACACATTTTTTGGGAAACTCATTGCTGATTTATGAAAATTTGGCCTTGACCCGAGGCTTCAGCATACTTTATGAAAACATCCTTTAAGGAATGACTGGCTTCGAAAGATGCTTTTGCAAAAATCAAGTAGTCATCCGCAAATTAAAGAATTGGGATTTTGGCACATTTTTAGAATTTTTAAAACCTAAAATTTCATTATTTCCATTCGATTGGAGATCCATATGCCTGGCTAATGCCTCACAACTTAGGACAAAAAGGTATGGGAGAGGGGATCTCCGTGCCTGATTCCTCTTGTTGGTCTGATTAACTATCCTAGGGATCCATTTACTAGTACTTGATAACTTACCGTTGAAACACATTGCATTATCCAGTTATTCATTTGTAGTGAAATACTGAAATCTCAATTTTTTAGGATTAATTTGACGCAGTCCCATTCTAATCTGTGATAGTAGGCATTCTAATGTCAATTTTATAGGCTATATAACCTATTTTTCCTTGCTTTTCATGGAGTACAAGATTTCAAGGGAAATCCACCCGATGTTGTGAAAATGCAATCCCAATCTCTTGTATCTGGTGAAAAAAGTTCAAACCGTTAATAAAATCAATTAATTACATATGCATTGAGAACTTTAGAAAATACGTTCAAACAAATTTTCGAACCATATCGAACACTAGCCATTTGGTCAAGTTTTCTTAAAATTGTAACTATTGAGCATAAAAGCCGAAAGAATAAGATAAAAACCGAGAAATAAAAGGGGTTTACAAATCTCACCCAGACGCCATCCCCATGAGGCTAGCTGACAAATTAACAACTGAACTTTAAGCGTCTTCATTTTGATTAATAAAAGCACAATTGGGAAGAATACAAATATAAATGTCAAAAGAGGATATTACCATTAACATAAAAGTGGGGAGGTTTCAGCCATTTTGTAATCCTCAAGGGAGGTTTCAACAATTTATCCAAAGTACCCTTTTAGGGTAAAAGCCTTTAACCTTCCCTTTAAGTTTGTGATAAATACTAAAATTTCCCCTTACATTTCAAAATAGATTAAGACCTTCCTTATGTCATTGGACTTATATATATTTAACCAAGTTGGACTTATATATATTTAACCTAACCCTAGCCCAACCCTAACTTTTTGGGTTGTGCTGGGACTTATCAGCCAAATTGCCTACAATTTCTGATTGTGCAAGTAATGAATAAATGGAAAAAAATGATTTAAGTTAAATGTTTCAAAGAAGCATAGTAATTGTTTCTGATTATGGAATTAAAAATAAATTAGTGGGAATAATGGTTTTAAGTTTAATGCTCAAAGAAGCATGATAAATGAGAAGGGTTCCGAGATCTCATCTGTTTTTGGAGTTCTAATGAACAATCAATTTGTCAAATCTTCTCTTACAAATGTAATAAATTGACATTTTCTGTAACAAACAGCATGAAGGGAAGTTGAATTAGACTCCCACCGCCCACTTCTCGATATTAGAGAGAGAAAAAAAATCCAATCTCCGTTGCCTACAGAAGCTTATCAAAAAATGAACAAAAACAGTCTAATCCCTCAAGGCTTTTTAGGTATGATTCACCAGTCGTCCCTAGAAATTGTTAATGCGAAAGAAATCCGTGCACCCAAAATTTTCCCAACTATCGCAAATAATGTAGGTTCCGGTTATGTTGATGATGATGCAGCTTCAATGGCACTACCTAGTGGCCAAGCTGCTTCAACCAGGGAATTCCCATACTTCACTTTCTTCACCAATGTAATCTCTTGCCATGGATCTAGAGCTGTCCAAGGAACAACAGTAGCCAATATGGGAAGATTAGAATCCTTTAATAATGCTTGCCAGAGAAAAGTAAGAATGAATTTCCAGCAGTGGATGACCTATAACGTACCAAACCCATCTACAAGCAATGTGAACTGATAGACAAGGTCCATACATAGATAAGGTAAGTTATCTTTCTCAACATGCGGGTAGGTGGACTTAGCATCTGCAAGTTTAGTTTCACAAGCACGCTTTGCTGCCTCCTGGAACTCCACAGGACGGACTTTGGCAACGGGCTGGTTGGGATCTATAAAACCAGCCTGTACATAGAAACACGATTCAGTCAGCATGGACACAAAGCAACAGAGCTGATGATGATGATGATAGAAGTTCTCATGGATCTAGATCAAGAATGTCTAATTACCTCAGCAGCCCTGTCAAAGAAAAATGAGGCAACAAATAAACTTTTCTGTCCATCCCCACCACCACCATTCCATACTCCACCAAAAGTGCACTTCATGTGTGTACATGCTGATTCATTAACTTTGAGAGCCTTAAAAGCAGCCCCTGTGCACTTGTCAATGTTGGAACCAGATGCAGAACTTGATACTTCATATTCATGGCCCCCGTATTTGTAGGACCCTTTAAGAAGAAAAGGGGGCATCATCTATCAGCAAAAGTTATTTGGAGCTACCATTTGAAACCAAACATAAGAACAGGAATAATAAGGATTGCATTCAAAATTGGAAGACAACAAGCATTGATTATCCCCTGGTAATTACCACTAGTTTTTGGCTTCTACAATTATCCAAATTCAGATTTGCTCCTCACAGAGTGCTTCTCACACCAACCTCACAAGCACTTGGAGCCACACATCTGGAACATCTCTGTATTTGTAAGTTATCATTCATGGGGAGATGTTCCTAATGCACTGCCACAACGTGCTGTGAGGTTGGTGTGAGGTGCACTCTGTGAGGAGCAAATCCGAATTCCACTTATCACCATAATTATCTCAAATACTCCAAAGAATAGACAATCAACACATTTCCCTCACAATTAACCCTATCATTGAAGGAGGGGAGAAAGAAGCAACTCCTGAAATGTTAGGAGGGGTCATAGGGTTCCCAAATAGCAGGCATAATAGAAGGTCAAGAAGTTCACTTTGCTTGACGAGATCACATGCTTATTTCCTACGTTGAGATGGCATGCAATGGAGATTTATCACTTAAAGGCTGCAATTTCAAAACATAATGAGCCAGGGCATTGTAGTTCTGGACTTGGCTATTTTAGTTGTTAAGCTTGCTTATATGCTAGATGCCTAGATCAGGCAGAGTAGGTATAAAATAAAAGGAGGTTATTGATGAAGTAAGTTGGGACCATATTAATATTAATATGTAAGAGGTTGTTGATGAAGTTGGGAGGTGTGACTTGGGAAGATCAACACTTTGGATAGCTTGCAAAAAAAAAAAGACCTTCTTTGTATATCTTCCCCTAACTGCTGTGTTTTTGTGCAAGTCTAATGGGGAGAACTATTACCACTTACTATTCTCCTGCCCCTTTGCTGCAGATATCTGGGAAAGGTTTTTTTTCTTTGTTTGGGCGCAGGTGGGGAATTTGCAAACAGAGGTGGAAAAGCTTTTCAACCCTTCTACTTTCACTTGGCCTAAGCAAAGGGGAAGAATCAAGTAATTGCGTGTGAGAGCAGTAGTTTGAACTCTTCGGGAAGAGAGGAATGATAGAATCTTCTTAGAAAAGGAAAGAGCATAGAAGCGGTAAAGGAATGTGTAATGGTCAGGGCTATTCAATGAATTAGAACCTGAGATTCCTTCTCGCAACTCATTTGATGACATTTGGAGAAATTGGAGGGAGGTGGCGAGAAGCTTTTCTGGAAAAGAAAGAGTGGAGCTATCTTGGAAGCCTCTGGTTGCAGGACTCGTGAAATTGAACTTCAATGGGAGTAGCCAAGGCAATCCGA